TTATTGGCAACCTAACACTCACGTTTGAAGAATTCTCCACTGTATTAGCCAAGATAGAGGCTGTTCTCAATTCTCGCCCCCTCAGTGCCATGTCCAATCAGCCTGGGGATTTCTCTGTACTCACCCTTGGTCACTTTTTAATAGGCAAACCACTCACCTCTTTCCCAGAGTCCGATGTAAGTGAAATTTTCTTCTCTAGATTAAATCTCTGGGAAAATTGCAAAAAAATCCAACAACTTTTCTGGAAAAGATGGAGCACAGATTACTTGAATAGGTTGCAAAACCGTCCCAAGTGGCTCACCTCAAACAAAGATATTAAAGTAAATGATCTTGTCTTGTTGAAGGAAGATAATACACCTCCCTTATATTGGCCGCTTGCCAGAGTGATTGAGGTCTACCATGGCAGTAATGGCAAGGTTCGTGTTGTTAATATCAAAACGAAGGATGGAACTTTCACATGTCCCATCACAAAATTGTGACCATTGCAAGAAGAGTATTCTGTGTAAATATTAAGTAGGTAAATGTTGCATTGTATTGTAAAGTGTGTTAATTAGCTACTAAGTGTAATATGTTTTAAGGAATAAGTTAACTCACCCATGCATTCTATGTTTAGTTGATAGTTTATTGTTAAGTGTTCTCTAGAATTAGGTTTAGAGTAGAATTCATCTTCTGTCAATCTAGTAACTTTGCTCTTGTTGTTGTTTCTTGTTGTTTTCTCTTGTTATGTCGTTAACTATTTTATTATTTGAAGCAATGCTTCAAGGCCCGGGAGTATGTTGGAAAACCAACTAATTCTTTAACTGTTACAATTTAACCTAACGCCGCCTCTGTTCCTGAATATCACATGTTAGCCCCTATTAGTAAAAATAACCAGACATCCTCAGCATATCCAACGCCTCCCATACACCCGCTCACCCTTTGTCCCTTTGCCCAAGCTAGTTACATATTACATATAAGCATAAAGTCAGTCGAATTAAGTAGCTCAAGTCAAGAAGTCGCTAAAGAAGTTATTCTTTCTCCTCGTTCCTCTATCTCTCTCTCACCCGTATCACACAACAAGATATATTACAAGTTACATTATAAGTTAGTTTAGTGTTGCAAGGTGTATATGTAAAGTATTGTGCAAGCAAATAAAGCGAAGATAAAAAGGTGTAAGTGTATAATTTCACCCCCACAAGAGTAATAAAACGAATCAGCAACCCACGCTTAAATCCTGTAACAAATCAAGACAGGTTACCACGAGGGTTTGGTGCTCTCAGGGAATGTTGGAAATAACCCCATCGTTTCCCTTTAGTAATTAATTCACTGTTTTCAGGAAAATTTAATTTAGTTTAATTTTATCATTTGTTTAACAATATGTATTTAATAATTATTTATTCATTTAATATTTAGTTTTAGTATTCCTTTTGTTATGGTTAGGATATTTTATTTTTGTTAAATTTTTGTAAAAATGAGGACATTCCGTAAATAAATAAATAAATCAAATAGTAGTGAATAAATATGATACATCAAAGTTTCATATAATATTCATAGAGAAGTATCACCAATTCATTTAGATATTAATATGGTGGTGATACAAGCAGTGGCGGCTTTTCTTTATGTGCTGCTGAGCTGCAGAACTACCAAACAACCATAGCAAATCTTAATTATTAAAGAATAATTAATATAGTTTTATTTCAAATCTGCCATATTATCATATTAAACATAAACTGTTAATAATAATTCACCAACAACGATGATTAATATTATTTTTTTTACGTATTTACTCCTCTAGTGAAACCGTATAATTTTTTTACGTATTTGGTGCTCCAGTGAAGCAATCTTTTTACGTATTTGCTGCTCCAGTGAAACCGCGTCGATAACAACCGAAACACTGGCAGCGGTAAAATGCATTTATTAGGCAAACGGCGATCTTAGCCGATGTGCTTCGGCAATCGGCTGATTAACGGCCTCGGAAATGTGTTTGCGAGCTGCAATTCACGACAGTTATTCGTGACCGTTGCATCTGTGCCGTGTTTAGAAATTCTTAGGTTACAATTTTGTTTAATTTGTTTTGTTCGAGCGTGTTTAAAACAATGGAGTTTCAATTTAAATTAGGTGTAAATAAATTTCAAAAACTTCACTATCAACAACAGTTGATTATAAAAGAACGTGGCCGTCCTATGCCTGATCTTAATATTGAAGTGTCCGGTAAAAGCCGTGGAAAAACATATACGCGTAAATTTAATAAAGACATGTATCTACGAAATCAGTGGATTTGTGGATGTTCCGAAAAAAATGCTTTTTTCTGTTTTCCGTGTGCATTATTCGGCGCAGATAAAGAGGAAAAATTGTGGCGCGAGACAGGAGTGCGGGATCTAGTGCATTTAAGTGAAAAAATAAAGAAGCATGAAAACACGCAAACTCATATGAACAATGAAATGCGATTTGCATTATTTGGGAAACTTAATATACAGGCCCAACTTGACTCTGCTTATTGGATAAATATACAAAAACACAATGAAGAGTCAGAGGTGACGAAAAACAGGTATGTTTTGTCAAAAATAATTGACTGTATAAAATTCTGTGGGGCTTTTGAGCTCGCCTTACGAGGACACGATGAATCTGAAACATCAGATAACCCTGGAATTTTTCGTGGTTTAGTGAATTTTTCTGCTGAACTTGATAAAACACTTAGTGAACACCTTACAAATGCGACAATTTTCAAAGGTACCTCAAAAACAATACAAAATGATATTTTGGATTGCATGCTAGAAGTATACGCTGAGGAGATTTTAAACGAAATCAATGAAGCCCCATTTTTAGCAGTGATAGCTGATGAGACAACGGATGTTTCTATGAAATTTCAAATGGTCATTGTTTTTCGTTATGTAAAAAACGGTGCTCCAGTTGAAAGGTTTTGGACTTTTTTGCTTCCAGAAAAACATGATGCTGAAACCTTAGCTAACACAATTTTGAATGTTTTAGACCCAATATTAAAGAATAACAAAAATAAGCTCATTGCACAAAGTTATGACGGAGCAGCTGTTATGAGTGGGATACATGGCGGAGTGCAAACAATAATTAAGAGAAAATATGAAACTGCTCATTTTGTGCACTGTTACGCCCATCAATTGAATCTAATAATGTCAAGAGCATGTTCTATTAATTCCCAAGTACGCGTATTTTTTGGAGATTTACATGATATACCTGGATTTTTTAGTCATTCACCTCAAAGAATAGCTGTCTTAAATCAAATAGTTGGAAAAAATATTCCTCGTACAATCCCTACACGCTGGAATTTCAATATTCGTACAGTAAATGTCGTTTACGAATATAGAGACTTTATTATTGAGTGTATGGAGCAACTAGAAGAAGAGTCAAATGCTATTACTTCCAAGGAAGCAAGAGGACTTAGACGTATTCTGGAAGATCAAAATTTAACTTTCTGGCTGACTGTTTTTCATTATATTATGCCACATGTTGACGTTTTGTACAATAATCTTCAAAAAAAGAACATGGACCCAACCGAAGCACAGAAAGCTATACATGTTTTTGAGCAAAGTATTAACAATGTCCGAAATAAAATAGACCCTATCATACATCAAGCTTCAAATTTAAATGCGGCGCCTAGTGTCCAAAAAAGGAAACGCCCAAATAACAGCCAACAGGATCACCGTATTGCCTGTCTAGAAGTTTGTGATGTTATTATAAACAATGCAAAAGAACGGTTTGCATATACAAATCATCTAGTTGCCGCAACACTTTTATCTTCAGAACATTTCGAAAAATATAATAATAAGTTTCCTGAAAATGAATTGGATTTAACTTGTACAGCTTATAACTTCTTTGATAAAAACCGTTTGCGAACAGAACTGTCAGTTTTGTATTCCAATATCGAGTGTAGAACATTAAAAGGTGCAGTGCCTTTACTAAAATTTATAATTTCTAATAATTTAGAGGACACATTAACAGAAACCAAAAAGTTGATACAAATTCTGGTGACTACGCCAATGACCACAGCAGAAGCTGAACGTAGTTTTTCAACTTTAAAACGGATCAAAACATTTTTAAGAAATTCAATGTGCGAAGACAGATTAACAGCCCTTTCCACACTCTCGATAGAAAAAAAGTTCATCGCTTCAATACCGAACTTTAACGATAAAGTAATCGAAAAGTTTGCGACAAAAAAGGACCGGCGTATTAATTTCCAATTTAGAAAAATGCAATAAATGTAAGTTAATCAGATTTTTATAGCATGTCGTTATTAGTTACTATTAATTAGTATTAAAGCTAATTTTATTGTTTTTGTTTTCGTATGTTATTCTATTTCTATTATTTTATATTGACCGTGGTTCATGCAGCACACCCTATAGCAGATGTCACGAGCCGCCACTGGATACAAGACTAAGAAAACATATCATACCAAATTATATTATATAGATAACTCAGTAATTTTATTCTAATTCTAAGTTTTAGAATAGCAGTTATGATTGTTATCTACTTGGTTAAATTTGCTGTAGAATAAGAGAAACAATCATTAGATTCAGAATTCATTCATTATTCTAACACACAGGGTTTAGTCACAAAAGTATTTAATGTTAATTTATTTCATTTAGAAACAATTAAGTATCCCAGTCTTCACAAAGACGATAATTTTGCCTAATCGGGTTTATATTTATTCCACATCCTTGGAATAGTCAATATAGGAGATAAATAGTGTAAAATTTGTTATCAGTGTTATGAGAGAATACACATTTAACAATTTTTGAATTCCAAATTTGTAATCAAGGTTTTTATTGTAAAGTAATAGCTTAATTGTACAGTATAGTAAAATCCACACTAGTTGTAAAGATTCATTACCTACAAAACAAGAAAACTCTTTGCCTCTAGGATAGGTAAATATAGAAAAATATCGACAATATGATGCTTTAGACCATTATTTAGTAAAAGTAGTAAATGATTAAAGTTTCAAAAACACGACAGTAATATTAACTTATTAACAAAATGAAAAAACTTACAAGTATCTTGTACTGAAAATAAAATGGCTGCCCAAATTCGATAGAATAAAATCACTTCACTTTTTCGCTGAAGATTTCTTCATTGTATTCCTCTGTTTAAAGTTTTATTATTACGTATTATAAATAACACAGACCAAATGATATAGAACTATCCTTGTGAACTTTTACATAAAATCCTTAAAACATAGGATCTGTCACTAAACAGAAATAAATCTTTAACCTCACATTAGTTTATACATAATGTATCCGTCAATAATTTACACTTTGTAGTACACTTTGGAGTAAATATGATGTTAGATCTTCTTCAATACCGTTAAAACTGTGCATATAAAATACATGAGAAATATACTACAAAATTGAAAAACTAGAAAATACAAAAACCCCACCCTTAAAAATAAATTTCACTTTTCATTCATTAGTCTTACTTAGATCTTAGACACAGTTTAACCACAAACAGTTAGGACACTCTTAGTCGGCGCCTTTGAAGTATAAAAGTATCCAGACGCCATATTGAAAACAGACTAGATCGGTTACGGACTGGCACAAGTGGTTACAACAGAGACGTGTTTATATTATTTCAAAGTTAGTAAACAAGTTAATTTGAATTAATTACAATCGACAATATATTAATTTAATTTAATTATTATTATCAAAATGTTTTATTTATTTTATATAAAAATAAATCTTTTCTACCATAGCCAAATAAGAAACTGAAAAACTTATATTCCAAAACAACAAATTATTTCGGGAGGCAATTTTGTGTGTAAACTAATTTAAATAGACTTACTGTTAACTTCTACAACAATAATTTAACAAAAGTAAACTTACAAAAAACTTTAACAAGTAAAAATGATATCGGAAAAAATAAGAGGGAGTGAATATCTTTTGAAAGTGAGTGAATCTTTTGAAATTAGAACGTGCTGTTACAAGGAAAATTAATTTCAGTTAGACTACTTACGGCAGTTTTAGGCTGTTCCTGTTCTTCATTAATTGCACGAGCTGGTTAATTTTCAAATTTAAAAATAATGTTGTAAATTGCAGATTTTGATGGTACAGCGCTTTCGAATGAAAACGAAAACGTAGCGATTACATCGTTGGCCCTACTTCCAGAATAATATCATTTAATAATTTGAATTTTATGTTCAGTTGTAAAGGTTACCATTTTCCTAACTGGAAATATCAATTCCTTTATTTTTTTGCGAATAAAACCAGAATTAGTATTTATTTATTTATTAACAGGATGTTTCCATTTTTTAGAAAACAATTAACAACATAAAATATCCTAACCATAACATAAATACTAAAACTAAATATTAAATAATTATTAAATATTGTTAAACAATTATTAAATTACATCAATTAAATTTTTATAAAAATAATTTTAAAATGAAATTAATATCCCCAAGTTTTTTTAGACTTAATTAAACGAAAAATAAAACTCGACGATAAAGATATAAACAAACAAATCACGACAGATGACTCGACTACATGTCACATAATAATACCAGTCGGATGTCACTAGCGTTCGGTCTGTTTTCAATATGGCGATATGGCCTGCGCTAAATGATGCGCGTACTTTTTCCCGCCTGTCGAGTGTCCATACTATTTCTTTTTTATACTATGTCTTAGACATGTAGATGTAGATAATACAGATTTTTATTGTTGAAAGCACCTACTAGCGACATCTAATACCTAATCAATATGATCTTTGACAGCTTATTACAGTGACCGCTTATAAAGGACAAAACCACAGAATAATAAACAATTGTTTATTATTCTGTGACAAAACTATAGTTGACATAGTTCCCAACGTATAAATAAATCCTAAATCCATTTTAAATCAAATAGGTCGCATAATTATTGCAAAAGTGGATTATACAACAAAACCAATTAATATTACACACACTAATAATAATAATAGTAATTATTAATACACACTAATTTTGTTTTAAAAAGAGCAGATTAAATAGGTAAAAATATAAACCAAGAGGTATTCACTTTAAGTCAAAATTGTATTCAACAGGTATACTAGGTACTTCTGGATATCTCCACTTCATGGTTTTGTTCCAGTTTCATTTTTAATTTTATTCACTGTAAAATTCACAATAATAAAGTACAAAAAGTGTCAACATCACAACTGTCAAATAAGTATTACCAATTTATGCCAAAATACACGAGAGGCTAATTACCACCTTGCATTCCATCTTCTCATTGGACGACTGAATGACATTTTTGACATCAGTTAAGTGAGGTTAGGTAATCAGTATTGTGGCCTGTTTGCGGGGAGCAAGCAGGGGCGGCTCGTGATAGTACAAGATGGTGAGGCACACTACACTTAGGGAAAATTATTATTATTATGGTTAGCTTCTCTTTGCTCCAGTCATACCCGGCTAAGGAGGCATTGCTCGCGCCAGCAAACAATGACTTGGCATGAGAAGGACTTCTGACGATACGCGCGTGGATCAACAAAAGTCATCCTCACCTCAAAGCTCTCCTAAGCCCTCTGCTGACTGCTTTTTGAAAAAGTCCGCGATTGAGCTGTATTTATGAGCACCATGTGTAATAGGGTGCTCATAAATGTAACTTAAATCATACCCAAGGTGTCGTTAAGCGACTTACTCCCGTTTATCATGAAATCTCATATCGTGAGATAAAAGCGAACGAAAAACGAGGGAGCTGTAATCCTCGAGCCTGCACCTTGTTTAGCGGCCAAGTTGTAACCTCAAGGATCTAGGTGGCCTCTCCCGTGGCCTTTTTTTATTGTTATAATTTTTTTGTGAATTTTTTATTATTTTATATATTTTTTTAAATATTTATATTTTTTATTAATTTTTTTGGGGGTTAGTAGGTATTTTTTATCTGGAAGATTTGTTAGTAAGTGTTATAAATGGCGACTGCTAATCTAGTGCCATCTTCTTCACGATCAAATTTGGTAGATAAAAATTCAAATAAATCTTGAGCAGAACGCCCGGAACTTACATGGTAAAATTCCATGAATCGTTCGACTGGTTTATCGTTTATTACGTAACGAAAAATAACGGATAGTTGTAAATGGCAGCTTATATCAGTAGTCTCATCCACCTGCCAGGAAAAGAATAATGATTTTGAAATTTCTTCCTCAATTTTTTTATTTATAACAAAAGCAATTGAATCGATTAATTCATTTTGTATGGTTTTAGATGTCCCAGAAAAAACTGATCTAGAGTCATTATCATGTCCTAAAAATGTTTTTAAATTAGTGTCAAATTTACTAACAAGAACATTTAGCTCTTTGAAATTCCCGCGATTTAAAGATTCATTAGATTCATCATGCCCCCTAAACGGTAACTCTTGCATACAGAGGTGTAGCGTAATATCTATAAGGCTTTTTAAAATTTGCCGATTTTCTTTAACCCTAGCATTGAAATTTTCAATATCTATTTTACGCGAATTGTCTAGTGCTGTGGCGATATTTTGCTTTTGTTTTCTCATAAGAGTAAGCTTGCAATTCGATTTAATATGTTGAGAACTTTTATTGTGTAACAATAGACTCAGAGAAAAATTTTTCAAATCAGTATAACCACTTTTGAACCAAACTTTGTCGCTAGTATTAGCTGTGGCAAATAAAATGCATGACCAATCAAACAATTTATTTAACGTTATACTATCCGTAAGCCAGTCAAACTTTTCGTACCATGCATTTTGAAATCCCCGATTTGGTTTTCCGACGCCACCGATAGAAACAAGATGTTTACTTAAATCTGGAATAGGTCGTTTTACTACTTTAACTATATATAATTTATCTTCATATGAATGACTTGAAAAATTCTGCTGATTGACTAAAAAATTTACGAGATCACAAGTATTACGAATATTTACATTTACCTGGGAAAGTTGTGACGAAGTGCTCGGTGCTAAATCCATTTTTCACTAAAACCGAAAATCCTGCAGACAAAAACAAACCCACCGAAATTATTAAAAAAACTTAATTAGAATTGCACTTATTATATAACATGTAATCTTACTGTTTTTTTAATGAAAAACAACACGAGATATGTCAAACGTGATCCTGCCGCACCAAAAGGTCAACAGGAAGTAATTTAACTACTACTTACTACAACAATTTTGCAGAAATGTTCCAAAATGTACCAATGTTGACAATCTGGTAAATGCATAGAAAAAAAATATTTTTTGTTAAATCGGAAAACAATAGAACAATATGTATAGTACCATCTACTAAAGGAAAATACTCCAATGTTGTTACAATTTTCAAATAAAAATCTATGTTTTATTTAAAATGTACTTATATACCCCGAGGGAAAAATGTAGCGAATTTGGTACCTTTGTACCCAAACGGCAACGCTGCTAATTAAAAGAACTACACCACACGAGAGCGGCATGCCTCTCCTGTTCGGTGAAATAGTGGGCAGAAAATAAATAAATCATGTTGAATTTCGCTACATAATGTGATGTCTAATATGCCAGACAGAGCAATGCCGTGAGGCTTGCCTCGGCTATAATTTTTAAAGAGAGAATGAGATGCACAGATGATAGGCGCGGAAAATGGAGCCGTTGTTTATTTAATATTTTGTGGTTTAAGCTTGTCCCTTGTCCGGCCCGTAGATTATGAAGAAATATACAAAGATAAGACATCAGGGGTGTACCTATTTTAATTTTTTATCATAATGAAAATAAAGTTATTTAGAAAATTCCAAAAAGTTAAATTGTAGTTGAAGAACGTAAATAGTCGATGATACTGGTGAGGCACTGCCTCACCTGCCTCATAGGACCAGCCGCCCCTGGGAGCAAGGTAGTCTTGGCACACTTTAAACTGTTTTATTGATTTATTAACAATAAACTACATACTAAAAACAAGTATGAAAACTGTAAGAGTTCTTTTCGTTGTTGCCTCGTAGTGTCTTGTGTCCGTGTTCTCACAGACATCAGCTGGCTCTCCTCTCCTCTTCTTTCTCAGTCGATGTTCCCTCACTTCGGTAGCACAGTCAACCCATGTGTGGCTGGAGGTTAACAGTCAATCTGCCACAGGGCTCTCCTCCAGTGAGGAACCTGTTGGTTTCGAACGGCTATGTTGACTTGTGTTGCTCATCAGACGGTTGGCATATGCATGTTCTTCCTGGACCTGTTGGGCCGCTGGAATATATGCTGGTTTGAGTCGGTCCATGGAAATTCGCTGAGGAACATTTTGAACATCCACAGTTAGAAACTTATCACTTCGTTCTAACACTTTAAACGGGCCGGTATAGGGAGGTGTAAGAGGGGGCTTCACTTTATCGGTCCGCACAAACACATGACTCGTAGTCTGTAGATCCGGATGGACAAAGGCAGTAGGGGCTGAGTGGTTGCTCGTCGGTACAGGACGCAATGCTCCCATGGTCTCACGTAGTCGTTGGACAAAACTATGCTCGTCGGC